TGACTATTTCTCCAAAATAATAATTTATTTTTGTAATCAAAGTGCCAAATATTTAGATGAATTATGGTACTATACCTGTGTAGTTTAGCCATGTCCAGGTACTTGTACTGTATATGATGTTCTGGTGGGAGGAACTGGTTCAAATATTCAGTGGCTGACTCCAACTCATCAGTCAATAAACACTCATGACGTCTCTTCTCTTTACTCTGTAAGTACTCATTAATATTCATGAGGGGGCGGGGCTACATTACCTTAACGAGGTTCAGACAGATTATTGGTGAGCCGAACCTCTTGAGACAATGAGAGAAATGCATACCAGCTGGAATGAAGTATGGAGTGGCTCTATCAACTATAAGAAGAGATCAATCAATGTCACTTTATTTTGGTGATTTTGTAAAATTACATATAAGTGAGGATTTTAATTTAGTTTTTAATTTGGTGGTTTTTGAGTACACGTGCATCACTGATCATGGACATTAATGATTAGTGGGTTTAATATTGGGGGACTGAACTGGCAAATCATCAATTGCCAAAATAAAACTCCACCACCAAATTAAAGCTCTATACGCAGTATACAGTAATACAATACTTCATGGTGGGCATTAATAAGAATAGCCTGTGCATTAATAAGAATAACTGACTCCTTATCTGTGGCTTTGGTCTTATTGTAGTAATGTCCTGAGACCAATATGAAGGGACTGATCCTCTCAACTGAACGTATGAGGTGTACCTACCACTGGAGTGAAGGGTGGTACTGGCATCATGACCTATCTGCTCTATCGTAACCTCATTAGCTACATCACCCTATGGGGGCAGGAGAGGGTATTAAGATACAGGGAGACTAGTAACGAGTAGTAGGAGAGAGGAAAGGAGTAGTGTTAGAGAGAGAGAGAGAGAAAGGAAGAAGGGAAGGCCAAGAGGCAGTATGTACATGTATATACAATTGTACATGTACATGTAATAAGGTGAAAGTACAGTGTATGCATGTACATGTGCATATGCTTTTTATACATGTACAATTGATGATACAGTAATTTCTCTAAAATTCGTCATTACTGTTTTTGAGCAGATAATTTTTAGAACAAAATTTTAGACGTCAAATGGAAATGATTAAGCCAAAATAATTATTTCTGATGAATTTAGAGGCAGCATGATTGAGTATGGGTGGGTCATGAAGTCTACCAAGTCACTGCTTACCGCCACTCCATTGCCAGTTATGATCCTCACAAAATTAAAACACGTGGTAAGGATAATTTTTGTGACAAATAATTAGGTTACTTTAGGTACTATTTCTCCCAAATAATTATTTATTTTCAAAATAAGAGTGCCAAATTTTTAGAGAAATTATGGGAACAAACATCAAAAATACTATCAATATACATGTACAATGTAAATACGTGTAAATAGATATACATGTACGTGTAAGGCATGTACATGTACATGTGAATGTGTGTGTATAGTACATGCAACAATTAAACATGCAAACTGTACATGTACTGTAAGACTAATGAAACTAGTTTAGAAGTGTATGCATGAATAATTTGTCATAGCAATTTCAATTAATATAAAGAGAACAAACAGTACATGATACATTGTAAGGTCACTGGAGGTTGGTCTCACCTCATCATTGATTCCTCTCTTGAGGTATCTGGTACCAGCAAAATTACGAGATCTTCTGGCGATGAGTGTAAAGTATATAGGATGACCAAAAACTGAAGTATCTAAACCAATAAAAGACTATAATTCAAATAATCACTGATATTAAAAAATACTCCAAAATCAGGCCAAAGTCCCTGTACTATAGTACAGGGTCACAGGCCAAATTTTCCCAAAAATGAAAAGGTGACAATTCTCCATTTTCATTACATTTCCTGATGCATATACTTGTTCTTATGTTGTGTAGAAAGTTTGAGCTGATTCCAATCAAATTTGAATTTTTTTATGAATTTTTGAAGTTGGTCTAAAATTGGGCCAAAGTCCCTGTACTATAGTACAGGGTCACAAGACAAATTTCGCCAAAAATGAAATGGTGAGAATTCTTTATTTTTATGACATCTTCTGATACATATACATGTACTTATGTTGCGTAGAAAGTTTGAACTGATTCCGATCATAATTGGATTTTTTATGAATTTTTAAAGTTGGCCAAATTTCCCCAAAAATGTCAAGGAGAAAACTCTCTGTTTTTATTACATTTCCTGATGCATATATATGAACTCATGTTGTGTAGAAAGTTTGAGCTAATTCTGATCAAGTTTGGATTTTTACAAATTCTTAAAGTTCCCCAATTCAAGTGCATGGTCATTCATCACTCACTGATTTGTGACATGAATCCACATATTATATGGAGTATCCATCTTGAGTGTACGAAGCCCTCAAGGTTCTCCAGTAAGTACTCATTCCATATGAACCTAAGACAGGACGGAGGCATAGGACCCTCTGAAGTCCTCATTTGGAACTGAAGGGAATGAGTTACATCATAAGAATAACTGGAGGGGAATATAATAATAATAAATAATATTAATAAATACAGTATAGCTTGTTATATTGGGAGAAGTGATTTCTGCATTTTGATAGATATTTTAAAATTTAATTAAGCATGTTATTTTAAACCATTATGTGCATGCTCAATGGCACATGGTTACAAATTGTCCCACAAATCATCAAAAATGTAGCAATCCATCAAAATTTTATTCCTGCAAATTAATAGCTACACGTAAC